TCTTTCACTTGCTATTTATAGTAGTATACAGTGTATACTGTGTAGAATGCAGTATATTGTAAACAGTGTTGGGTGAGCTACTTTAAAAAAGTCATTAATTATATAGCTATTAATTACATCTTCAGCAGTGTAATTATATTTATGCACTAATTACTCTCTATAAAAAGTATTTCATTAATTATTATATTTACTTCCTATGTCAACATCCACCAGATGAACAATACAGGGATAAACATGAAACTGCTCTTTTAATTCTTTCTAATCAATAACATAAAATTACGTACATTAATTTTGAGATAAGTATTTAAAGGTAGAAGTTTACATCAAAAACATACATTTTAGATGTTTAACTCTGATGTTAAATCCACTATTGTTTTATATAAACAATTGTTCTAGTCTATACAGTATTTAATGCAATTACATTAGAAGTAACTGTAATTAAATTACATCAAAATTAAGAGTAATCCCTTACTTTACTTTTTCAAGGGAAAAGTAATTAAATGGCAGTTACTTGGTAATGCATTACACCCAACACTGATTGTAAAGTAGTTTTCTATTTTGAAAATGAATTCAATATCTGTATAGAATCAATACATTTTGCATCAGTTTAGAAATAAAGGAAGATGATTGAAAAATAGATCTGCAGTGACAACTGTGTGGATTCAGTTGGGAATATTCAGGCATGGCAAAAGACAGGTCAGAAGATTTTGGATGAGTTTTAAAGGTGATATGGCATAAAAGTCTCCCCTGAAGCAGGCAAAACATCACGGGGTGCTGGAAGAGAGGCACTAGAGCAAGTGAAGACATGACACATTCTAAAGTCATCGACTGCACTGCATTCACAGAGAAGCTGCAGCAATGTGGTATGTTTTCTGGCTCCTTTTATCTACTTCCAGGATCCGCAAGCAATGCAAACATGCACACTTTTCTTAATTTAACGCTACACTGTAAAAAAAAATTCCGTAAACTTTACGGTAAAAAACCGGCAGCTGTGGTTGCCGGAATTTTACCGTAAAAACTACGGTAGCAACATTTTAGGTTTTACGGTTTTAACTTAAATTTACAGTAAAATACCGTAATTTCATTGACATAATGTTAATATACCAACCTATTGAAGTACTGAAATCTGTTTTGTACTTTTGTAATACACTGACAACCACCAAATGCAGGTGGTGATGAGAAAGTCACATGATGAGCCAAAGCCCATCACAAGCAGCTTTTAAATAATAACATATATAGAAGGTGCACAGTGTCATTCACACAAACACTAAACACCATCATGGTAACACACATGAAACTGAAATATTACAATAAACAATCATTTAACAACATTAGGTGTAACACACAACCCTAATATACAAAACTGATAAGAAAAAAATAAGAAGAAACATAGTTATTTCAACAAAAAAGCATCAAATTTGAAATGTAACGCAGGGAATTCTGGGAATGTCAATTTACGGTTATTCACTGTAAATTATACGTTTTTTTCACTTACAAAAGCAGTATACTACCGTAAAATTAATGTCCAATACATGTAATGTCCAATACAGTTTTCACCGTATATAGTAGGGGAATTTACCGTTAACCATTTAACAGGTTTTTACTGTAGCATTTTTACAGTCTTTTACCGTTAAATTCACGGTCATTTTTTACAGTGTAGTTCAATGTCTTTAAAATGTGCTGATTTCAAAATAAAGAGAAAGGGCAAGAAAAAGAAAAAGCTGTGGGTCGGAAAAAACAGTTAGAAATGGCTGATCAACTACAAAAAACAAAGACAACCATAGCTTATTGGGCAAAGGCTCAAAGCAGTGCACCCAGAATATGGGTGGATGTAATCATAACCTGGTCTTAGCATCGCCACCATTACCACACCCTGCTGTTCCTTTTAGAGACACAAGATGAGAATATTTGTGCCCTCACAGGATTGCTGCCTGGCTCCATACTTCTGTCTGTCTCTCTCGCTCTTTCTTTTCGTCTTCCTGCTGCAATTCTTTGCCTTCAGAAACCATTAGTGCCCATTCAAAATAAACATCAAGGGAGCGCTTTGATGTGTCTCTTGGCAATAGCCCATGTCTCAGTCTCTGTCGCACTCTTTTCCTTCTTTTTTCTTCCTCATTTATCCTTTAACCCTCCTCCCACACACACACCCTTCTGTTTCTCCCGCGTTTCACAGCCGAGCGTTTTTACCTGGCAAATAAATCTATCAACAGAGACCCATTTTTTTTTTATTTGGCAGAACCGGTTTGGAGTCCCTCTCTTAAGTGTAACAAAAGTGAGATAGCACAATAGCCCTGGCCTGCCATGCGAGCTAATGTTGGCTGGGAAGCGAACTATGGCAGCTTTAGTGGTCTCTTTCTCTCCCTTTCACACACACAGAAGCTGGTTAAAGCCGCCAGAGTAGAGCTTAATGCCAATTACCACCCCACACAATGAAGTGAATGAAACAGTTAGCGCTCCTCAGAGCGAGCCCCTGGCACACACCGCCTGATATGGTTACTGTGCTGCCTCCCACGTGCTACGCTTTGTGCCATGAGAAACGAGAGCACTGATATCATCAATCTAACATTGCGACATTGTCTAAATGACTTGAAGTCAGCCAACGTTAAACTCGCCCTCAGGCGCCAGATGGCACCTGCGATTTCCACCAAGGTTTGCGGCGTGTTGTTACGGGTGCATTAAGGTGGGAAGGTCGTGGCTGTTCCTAGAAGAGTTTCCTAGATAGTTTCACGATCAAAGCACAGGAAACTTTAAAATAGAGCTTGCTGGAATGAAGGACAATTAGGAAAAGGGAAGTGACAAGTCAAGGGTCAGGCGTGCTCTGATCTCTGCCAGGCTGTATTTGGCATTCCACGCAAAGAAAAAACACTCGGCGGATGCATCCGCGCAAGACATGCCGAGAACACTTAGCACTCCAACTTATCTCTGAGCTCATACGTGCAGGCAAAAAGGACTCTAGTGGCCAAATTACTGCTGCATTTATTAATCTTCTACGAGGGAGCAAATTAAAGGCTGATAATGTGAACAAATATGGCTGGGATTTCTCACCGGGGTCTGAAGTGCTTCATTATGCCACAGCATTGTCTCTGAGCATGCTGGGCCAGTGGTGCTTCCAGGGGCATTCTAATCCTCCAATTAGCCCCAAGAAAAACCAGCTGCCCGGGCCCTGGCAAAGCTCACGTCTCCCAGGGCAGAGGTAAAGGCCAGGGCCTGGTCCAAGTGTGGAGAGGCACTCAAGAAAAGCATGTCACCATTAAAACCTCCTCCCTCCACTTTATGGTGAACACTTGAAATACTGAAATAAGGCAACCAGATAAAACTATTCCCACATAGAACTCTGGCAACAGATTATGCTCTCTGCCAAAATGGCGACAAAAACAACCTGATGCCTGAATCCCCCTCCCTCCTAATGGGCCAAGCTGAAGCTTGAGAAACATACTTGAGGAAGCAATAGGGGTTTTTCTGGGAAAGGCCTTCCTTCACCTTGGAGTTGGTTTCTCATGGAAGGAGCTACAGGGGGTGAGATTTTAATTAAGCATGGAGGTGCTGGTGCAAGGCTGGAGGGAGCGGACGGGGGGAATGATCCATGAACAAAGCCTTCTATGGTGTACAAACAGCCACAGAGTTACCCCCCAACTGGCAGGAACCCCACCTGCACTTTAATAGATGGGATTAATGGCCAATCGGGAAGCCTCTTTATGACATCCTCCATCCTCATTCCTGTTAGAATGGCACGAATAAGAAGAGAGTGATGAAAGACACCCTCAGATACCCCAAACTGGTCTCAGAGCAGTCTAATAAAATGAAGTCCGAGATCAACTGGTAGAGCTAGGCCCTCATTTTGGGTTTGATTCCCAGGGAAAACACATACAGTACTAACCAATGTATACCTTAATTGCTCAAATGAAAACGAGTCAAAGGGCAAAAATCACTTCCAGCCAAACACAAATGCACAGTAACCACACAAACATACTAGTGTTCATTTAAAAAATATAACTTTTAATAAAGGCTACATCTCTTCATAATTACAATAATTAAAGTACCAATTCGTCTTTAAAATGAAGCTCTATATAATGCATAATTTACATTTTAGTGAAACACAACAAAATTGGGGGAGGAAAACACTGAAACGTAATGTCATGATTACAAGATATCCAAAGCATAAAAAATGATTTTAAACATAAACCCCTCAGAAAAGCAAGGGAATATTCACACCCTGAAACAGGGCAGCACACAGTATGGTATCCATGTAGGCACAGGTAATATATAATACACTAGCGATGGCATGTTCTCATTCACTCGTGCCAGTGCATTCCGAGATTTTGCCCTGGAGCTCTGCGGTTTTAAATCAGCTACACCAGGTCTTTTCATTCAACATTTACACAGGACATTAACCCCTTCCATGCACACTCTCTGATCTCCCAGACAGTGTTGAAATTAAGATTACCGTTTTTTTTCTTTTTTAATAGTATGACTTCCTATTACTTAGTTTTTACTTAAGAGTCTTGGAACAGGTTCCAGGACAAGGCTATTGGTTCCTGTGCAATGTCTGGACATTAAACCAAAGGCACTAAAGATGCAACACATCATCAGCTGTTGGCTGGGCAATAAAGGTTGAAATATCCACCCAATCAACAGAGAGGTTTGGAGAGGGGTGCTGGTCTGAAGCACAGTTCGTTCTCATTGGCCAGAAGAGAAGATTCCTGGTACAGTCTGTTGAGTTAAGGTCGCGTGACTCTAGACATCCGTCCATGCATGTATAACACTGAAAATCTCCCAATCAAATAAGCAGCTTGTCCATAATCTGAACACAGGTATGAGGGGAATGACAGTTTAATAAATAGCAATAAAGTCTTTAGCTTTTGACAGAAGCATATTATAACTTTGTGTACATATGAGCACCTCAGTATACACATGCACACGTTCTCGCATCCAACACACATATACACATCTACAGTTATCACAAATGCTGGTCAGCAGTCCATGGTATGGTAACACACCAACGTTGGCGTGTTGTAGTCCAAACAAATAAGTGGATGATTGCGTCTTCATTGGTCATAACATCTCTCTTAGCGTTCCAAATTAAAGGAACAATTTCTTATGATGCATTGCTGGTTCAGATCCCTCTGTACTTCATTGGCTAGTATTCCTTCAATAGCTTGGTGAGGCAAACGTCTAAACTTTTTTTAGCTGCATAAAACGTCCATTTTCCGCTCGTTGACTTAGTCTTGAGTGCTGGGTAAGTCCGCTGTCGTGTTTATTTAGTCCATTCTCTCCACTTTGCCGAGGATTTTGCCCTCATACATAGGCAGAACTGTGCAGTCGTCCCAGACCTCCTCAAACACAGCACCGCACTCAAACTCATCACTGGCCTTTTTGAAGTAGTACCTGAAAGAGAGCACATGTAGGGTCAACAAACTGTTGATGGCATTCATAAATGTATAGGTCTATAGGTAAAATGGTATTCTTTCGTTCCAGAAAACAACAATTTTGTTTTACAAGCATATGAAATGCTTAAAGACCCCATGGAACTGTCACAGAGACCCTTCACAATCCAGTCTGAATATCCTGTTTCAACAGGAAATGCATCACATTACAGAAGTGAAATGTTTCAAACACCATTTCATGTTGACTTTAAATACCCGTATCACATACTAGTGCTATACCATGTTGTATTCTGCTATATGGGGACAAAGAGGTGCTTTAGCATAAATTAGAGGGTCTGTTAAACACTACCACCCATCCACCATCAGGCATCTGGTGTCTAATTGGGAGCTCTGAGCAAATAATGGGGATCTTTCACAAGGGCTGACATTTTTGGGTTGCCGTAGTCTACACTACACTTTTTTCATTACCACATTGTGATAGGACGAGTTTGAGCTTAATCTAGTCTTTGACCTTGATGGACGACCTCTCTGCCTCATTTCTCTTTCGATTGGTCTTTTTCCTTCTACCTCTGTGGCACTAATGATCTCCACCTCCTCCAAAAGGAAGAGAAAACAGTGGGAGGGGAGGGAGTGGTGAGGTCTACCTCAGTAATTGGCTTTGTAATGGAAAATGCCCCCTCTTACTAACTTGCGCTGCAGTGCATGCTAGGTTTTTACAAGCAAACACCACCAAGTCATAGAAACAGCACACATAAAACACACACAGGAATAACCATGACTCAAAACAACAACCGACAAGAACAAAGTTTCTTTTCTTCTTTCAATATGTCGGAAACAATCCATTGTTCTCCCACTGCCCAAACCCAACTTCATAAATGAGGGACAAACTCGAATACTGTGTCATGGCACATAATTACATCCTCATTTCTGGAGAATAAGCTATATCCTCCTCCGCAAAATCTTCAAAAGAGAAGCATGGCTCTTATTTGTTCGAAAAAAATAGAGAGGGAGAAGAAGAAAGAAAAAGAGAAAGAAGTCTTTCCATTGGAACATGTTTTATATGGCAAGATTTTCTCTTCGCAACATCTGGCACCAATATTGTCTGGCAACTCTGGCAGTACTGTTCTTTGTTGAATATCTGCCATGTTGAAATGACCCAACTACACACATTTTCTGTGATTAAAACCATCAGCTTTGAATTCTCTTTTCCTTGAAAATGCGCATGGTGAGAGAGGGGTCCCTAACATGGGGACTTTTTGACAATATTTATGTAAAATGCAAACAACAAGCTATTTGATAAAATAAAGTTACCAATATGGACAATAATGCAACCACACGGGGCATTACAGATTGTGGTCAGTGGGCAGTTGAAAGCTATGATCGGCGTAGTTACCAATTAAAAGTTACTCAACTCTTCTGGTGTGCTTAAAATGGGCTTTTATGGAGTCAACATGCACAAGGAAAACCACTGGCGGCCATCTGACAATGCCCCATTCAAATAAAAAGGCCAACACAAAGAGAGGCTTTGATATAAATGAGAAATAATCATTAAAAAAACTGATAGTCTTATGTAAACACACACACAAATGTATGAGAGCAACGTAGCTTGATACAATTGTTGAAAAATGTGTGCAAGTCTTTGTGCATCAAATGAAAGGCCTGAGCTTCAAAGAGCTTCTTATTAAATGTGCCTTAAGATGAAATCAATACCAGATGTGACCAAACGGCTACAGTTAAAATTCCCTCATTCTTTCTTTCTCTGTGCACCCACCCTCTCTCTTTCCTGTCGTCTTAACCCCATACTTGCTGCTAATGTAAATAACTTATAGTAAACATCGCAGCCTTGCAGAGACCAACACAACCAGTGTAAAACCACATCAAAAAATACCTTGCAAGAATATTTTTTGAATTAGCTAGTTGCAAAACTATTATATTCAAGTCTTCAGCAGCCTTAATATAAACTCTCAAAAAGAAATTAACTCGTCAGAATTTAGAACATACCTGTAGTTTCCTTTTTTCCGCAGTTGCTCCTTGAAGTGTCCGAGTGTGAGGCTGTGTGTTTTCATCATCCGGCGGTACGGGATTTCCTCACCGCAAAAGAAGTATGTGACCACTGTCTCCGAGCCCAAACTACTGTGGGAACCTGACATCTTCTTGAGATCTTTCGGTCTGTAAAGACAAACACACATGAGCACAAACGTAAAGATCATCACAGCAGAGGATAATATTAGCTAGGCCTTAAAGACCACACTATTGTAGATGGCATGCACAACACATTGAAAATCTGTAATGACACAACAGGAAATATTTAGGGTGGGGCTTGTTCTTATCCATTAGGATTAGATTTGGTGGAAACATGTTAGGATGTTATTAGTGTTTCCTTGAACAACTATCACTATTACCGGTCATGGAATTCATGAATAGGTTAATATATATATATATATATATGTCAAAAAAAGAAGGAATAGTCTATAGTTGCCACAAATGCAGTGCTTTGAGTTTAACAAATGCTGTCAAATTGACCAAAGACAAATGGTCAAGATTATCCACTGGCCCTTTTCTCCACTTTGTAGTGCTACTTCAGAAAGCCAACCCAGTCTTAGAAATTAAAAAGAGTTTTGCCATCAGGTGGCCAATGCGCCACACTTCCAATACTGGCCAGGGCCAGAAACCAAGAGAGAGAACAACCAGGAGTTCCTCAAAGGAAGAAAAGGACTAATGGCTGCAAAGCATCCGACGACTGCCACGTTACATGCATACGTGTGTCATTCATCAATGAAAAGTGAATTAAAACGTGCAAGAGGATGACTATCAGGAGTGATACATACTCGTCCGTTTGAAGTGCTGAACTGCCATTCTGTACAGGCACTGGGTGACTCTTGTCTCTCTGAAGGCTTGATGTTGAATGTCTGTGAAGTGGAACCCATACGTCAATACAGAAATCAATCGAGAGTTTTTAGCAAGGACTGGCATTCAGGGTCGTAAAGTCTGGAGTTTGTACCTCTGTTTAGAGGGTTTGGAAACTTCTTCCAGACGTCTGCGGGCCTCTTCCAGCTGTGCTAGGGTGTTGGGAGGGGGTAGAGGTGGCATGGCAGGGTCCTGAACAAAGGGGTGTGCAGGTTGGTGGGCACGGAGATGCGCACTGCTTCCGCCACCTCCCCAGGTGTGTGTGCGTGTGGGTTCCAAACAGTGCGACTTCTTTACATTTTGAGTGCTGCAAGAACAGACAGTTTGACCATGTAAGTACAATGTAAGCACAAATGCTCATAGGAATCAAGGTGGGCAAACGCTTGTGCAACCAAGGTGAGCAACCACTGGTAGTGCAAACGCACATGCACAAGAATTTTCAAAGAACGAAGATTACAACATAGAGATGACCACAGAGTTGCGAGACAGACCTGTGGGGCTTGTGCTTGGTCTGTCGGTCGCTCTCCAGGATCCACTGCCATACGTTTTGAGAGCGATCTGTACTGTCAGCTGGCAGCTGAAGGAGACTGCTCTCCAACCCTTCTGTGTTCACCTCCTCTCCAGATTTACACAGACGCTTAGATAAAGAGCTGGAATGCCTAGCAGCAGGAAAAGGAATAAAAACTGAAGTTGAAAAAAAAGTTTTATAAAAACAACCATCTATAGACTCCAGGATGCAACAATTAAAAAGCAATGAGGAACAACAAAAAAAAATGTACCCAAAGGTCACTTCTGCAGGGCTGCCACACTGGTCTCTGCCCAGACTCCGGCTGCGGTTGTAGGGTGCAGAGCAGCTTTCTGAAGCTCCATGGCACAGGCACTGCACCCGCTGGGTCGCCTCCGCCTCGATCTGCTCCTTGCTTTTGGGCTCAGCATGGTGATGGATGTAGTGGTGATAGATGTGCTTGGTTGACTGTCTGGAGATCAAGGTCTTGGATGGCACGTATCCGTTCCCAGAGCCAGACTGCGACCTGGTGCCAGGACCTCCCCGAGGCAGGGGGTGCTGTTCAGGAGATCGGGAGCGTGGGGAATGCCGAAGCATTCCTGGAGACTGACAGCCAGGGGTCTTGAGAACTCGGGAAAGGTGTTCGTCCAGGATGGCCTGGGGGTCCTCCTCACAAGAGCCAGGAGGGAGCAAAGGCAGAGAGTGGCATGCACTGCTTCCAGACACCTCAGATTCATCCTTCTCCTCCTCCTGAACACACACAAGAATGCAATGTTACAAAGAAATTCTTGCAAACAGCCTGTTTACCCAAAATGTTCTGTGAATATTGTGTATGTAAATGTATGTTTCTCTGAATTCTTCAATAGAAGAAGTAAAATGTTCGATTTGAAAGAGTGACAACATTTTCGGAGACTTCCAGCAATACCTCCTGAATCTGCTGAAGTCTCTCCTCTAGGGAGCTCATGGTTTCCTGTTCCCGCTTCAGACGCTCCAGTCTGGCTATCAGCTGTGCCGCAAAGGCTGCTGGCTCCACGGGAGTCATCTCCTTAGGTGGCCGCCGCGTCCTCTGCACAACCAGAGAGAGATACAGATTAGCGAGAAGACCAGACAGGACAGGATGGGTTGATTTCTACAGCTGCCCTCCCCGCATAAGTCTACTGCCCATACAACACACACACACACAAACATGCCCCACACCACTGGCATGGGCCGCTGCCGGCATGAGCAGTTGGTCACGCTCTAAGGAGCCTCGGCTTGTTCCCTCTGTAGTGCAACCAAGCCATCAGCCCGGCCTGTGAAGTCAGGCAGCTTCAAAGAGGCCTCGTCAAATATCAAACGCTCACCAGGGGCGGCAGGGACACTGGCTTTACATCTAGCAATAAAAGTCACATATCGACAGGGGGAAAAAGGAGGGAGGCAAAGGAAAAAAGGAAAGAGAGGGGGATTAAAAGAAGAGAAAGTAAGATGGCGAGATGTGTGCCGCCACCAGAGGAGTCAAGAGGTGGGAGATCAGAAGCACAGAGGTAATTTATTCCCCCCCCCAACGACAGCAGGCACCTTTGAGCTACAGTAGCCACATTATCCTCCTTCCCCATGTGTGCGTCTCACACGAGGATTTTCTACCGCTTTCTTATTATTTTTATTATTATTTTGTGCCCTGCGTTTCTTGATTTGGCTTCCCCTTTCCATCTCTTTGTAAAGATGATGAAGGGAGCGACGAAAGAGAGAAGAAAGCAAAACGAGCTGCTGGTGAGACTTGCAGCAGCTCCAGGCCCCTGCTGCCTAAAAGTAGCATCCTGGGACAGGCAGCCAGTCATTGCCAAATCAGAAGGGAAATATTACAAGCTAGAAAAAAAAGGAGAGAGGGTGGGAGGCAAGGAGATAGAAAGAAAGAGAGAGCAGACACAGCAAAGGGAAAGTCTTTCCAATATAGAATTTAAAATTCTTAAGAGTAAGAAAGCATAAGGAGGTATAGGGAGGGTGGATACAGGTTTGTTTGACTTGCTTAAGTTGTCTTTCCAAACTCTCTCTCCAAACACTAACCTCTCTTTTTCTACTTTGAGGGAGGCAGAGAAGAAACTAGGGAGAGGGGGATGCAGGGTGCTGCTGGAGGAATAAAAAGGGTGCAGCTCGGTTGGAAGTTGTCACTTCCCTTGAAGTCAGCCCCATTCATCTGCTGATCAAAGTGCTCTCAGAGAGAGACAGTTGATTTTGGTGCCCCGGGATGAAACAAACTCATTTAGTGTGGTGTGGCAGTTTATTAAGAGTCATTATCCGAGAAAGAGCACAACAACACGAACGGTCCACAACCGTAAGTGGGTAACGCTTTTTAATTGGGGGCGATGTTGGAGTTGTTTATGTGTATTTCAGAAGAATGGCGAGGACACTTACAGGGAACGGAGGTAGAGACACTTGGCCATTCATCCTCATGTTGCGCTGCATCTCTCGTTGTAATTGTTTTTTACTTCCCAGCTTGTATGGAGGGATGGCATCTCTGTCAGGACACACAGAGAACATCGAAGGTTATTTACTCCCCAAACTCAAACACAATAGTCAAGACACATACTGCACCTAGCATCCATAGACACTCAAATCCTGTAGTCATACAGATCAACACACAGTGTGTTGTTGAAATAATGGCCCAGAAAATGATGCATTCTCACCCTGTGCAAACTAAAACTGCAAGCCCCATGACTTTCCTTTCAATATCATCCAAAACCCAAAGTTCTTCATCTTCCTCCATGTTAGCCGTGAGCATTCCAGAGTGCTGGTAACAGCAAGATCTTTCTCTGCTCTCTTGCCCAGCACAGACGCCATGGGGCTCGCTCAAACCCAAAGGGCAATCAAGCTTTGCCACCGTTATGGCATCCATATGATGTTACCAATTACAATAAAAGATGGCTTGTGTTTCCATAAACATCCTAATCCATCTAATCCAAGGCAGAACGTTTGTAAACCTGCACCTCTTCAATCTCACCGTTTCTTGCCTCTAAAGCCAGACATCTTTCTCATCCTCCGCTTGGCTTTTTCTTTTTCTTTTTTTTTTTAAAGCCAGGCCAGTTTCCTTTGCTCTGTTCTGACTCTGAAGTGTATGACCTAGCCCAAATGCAGTTTCCAGCACGTCTTTGAAAGCTCACAGTCATGCGCATAAAGCCGTCGCTCCAATCTTCATTTGGCAAGCGCTCGGCAGTCAGCCTCTGATCTTGCGCACATCAAAAGGCTGGTTTGTAAGATAAGGTAATGTTTGAAGTCGGCGCAGCGGCATTCCCTAACGTCCAAGTAATAAAAGATGGCTTGTGTTTCCATAAACACTCCTAATCCATCTAATCCAAGGCAGAACGTTTGTAAACCTGCACCTCTTCAATCTCACTGTTTCTTGCCTCTAAAGCCAGACATCTTTCTCATCCTCCGCTTGGCTTTTTCTTTTTCTTTTTTTTTTTAAAGCCAGGCCAGTTTCCTTTGCTCTGTTCTGACTCTGAAGTGTATGACCTAGCCCAAATGCAGTTTCCAGCACGTCTTTGAAAGCTCACAGTCATGCGCATAAAGCCGTCGCTCCAATCTTCATTTGGCAAGCGCTCGGCAGTCAGCCTCTGATCTTGCGCACATCAAAAGGCTGGTTTGTAAGATAAGGTAATGTTTGAAGTCGGCGCAGCGGCATTCCCTAACGTCCAAGTAAATCCATAAATAAGATATAAGCAAAATTTCCCCCACTTCTCCTCCCCTCCCTCGCTCCCTCCCTCCATCTGGAATTCAGATTCTGATTTAGCGCCGTGCCTTTTAACTCAAATAAAAACACAGCTAATTCCAATCAAATCAGCCTCCAAATAAATAACACAGGGGCTGTTTTTCCCATTGCCTATACTACTTCAAAGTGGCGCAAATACAAACAAAAAATTAAATAAGAAATGCAATGGTTAAATATGCGTAAAGTCACTGGACAGGAGCATGCAGATAATTCTTTTTTTTTTTTCAGAACAAGTAAACGTTGATTGACTCACTAATTTAAAATGAATGTTGTAACCTTGTAAGTACTATGCTGCGGTTTTAACTATTAAAGAAATACTTCAAATTAAGATGATTTGAAGACAGGTCACTCAAAAAGCTGTTGCACATTTTGTTAAAAAAAAAATGCATGGCTGTGCCTATCAAAATATTAATCTTTGGTTCAATCAGCCCACTGTCCACATACACTCACTGTGTTTGGAGCTTTGGGGTGTCACAGGCTGGCTGTGCTTTATGGGAATCTCCTATTCACTTGTGCAAGTAATTTTCAAAGCAGCCAGCCACCCTCTTATCCCTCTAAGCTCCCGGGGCCTAACAATGGGCTGAAAGCGATTCAGTTAAGCCTTTCATCCAGCATGCACTTTATTTCTCACTCTCTACACTTAGCTATGCACTTGCACAATTGCCTCTGCCGCAAACACAGAGGGGGGAGGGCTGCTTTCAGGCAGAGGTGGGGTTGAATGGGTGGTGTACATGAGTGTCTGGGGGATGGGGTCCCAAACACCCTAATCCCAGGTGACCTGCTCTTGTGCTCCAGAAATGGCTAACCTCTCAAAGGCCTAGCTGACACCGGATCCCCCTCGTTCCAAACCTCCATGCGAGTTGAGATTCCTTTAATTTACTGCCAAAGCACCTCAATGAGTGTCTTATAGTCCACATGGTGAGTTAACCCCCACCCCCTTTTTCCACGGACAATGGGGAAACCAATAAATAATGACTTTGTCTTCTGTGATTAAGTTGTGCAAAATTTAAAAAGAAAGCCATTGAAGTTCAAAGCTTTATAGGGA